GGGGGGGGGGTGTCGTTGTCGTATGCGATGATATGTGGTGCGGTGCGCTAATGTTGACCCAGCACAGGCAAAGCAGGGCACTGCGCGCGGCGGGGCGGCGTGGTGCCGGTATTCTTAGCCCTTTGACGTCACCCGCCTACCTTTGCGTGCGGGGGGCCTGCGGGGGTGGGCCGGCCTGGTCCCGCCCCGCCGCGGCGGCCCCGCCTGCGTAGGGCCGCGCAGGGCGAGGCGCAGGGTTGGGCCGGCCGGCCGCTGCCCCCGCTGGACTGGACTGAAAATAAGAGCATCACACAGCACATCGAGCGAGAACAGTCATTTCTGGCCAATGCAGGGCTGACGGATTCCGCAAGCACCACAAGCCACGTTGTTTACAGATCACCAAAATATTTTATTGTGCATTTCGCACTGTCCCCTCGGACACCATGAAGTTAATCCAACTCTATGCTGACACGACACCCGACGAAGTGGAGCAGAAATCCGTTCCGTGTTTGCTGCGGTGCGATTGGTTCGATTTTCGTAGCCCATCGCCCCGCCCCGCCCGGACAGAGATGACCCAGCGGATTGATTATTCCCAGCCAGCGCCTCGCCTCGGCCAGACTGGCGGCCTGCCCTGCGGAGGTGTGTGGTGGAGGCCGCGTGGAGGCCGTGCGCAGGCCGTGGAGACCACGTGCAGGCCTTGTGGAGGCCGCGTGCAGGCCGTGTGGAGACCATGTGCAGGCCGTGTGGAGGCCGTGTGGAGGCAGTGTGCAGGCCTTGTGGAGGTGCAGGCCGTGTGCAGGCCGTGTGCAGGCCGTGTGCAGGCCGTGTGCAGGCCGCGTGCAGGCCGTGTGGAGACCATGTGCAGGCCGTGTGGAGGCCGTGTGGAGGCAGTGTGCAGGCCTTGTGGAGGCCGCGTGCAGGCCGTGTGCAGGCCGTGTGCAGGCCGTGTGCAGGCCGTGTGCAGGCCGTGTGCAGGCCGTGTGGAGGCCGTGTGCAGGCCATGTGCAGGCCGTGTGGAGGCCGTGCGCAGGCCGTGGAGGCCGTGTGCAGGCCGTGTGGAGGCCGTGCGCAGGCCGTGGAGGCCGTGTGCAGGCCGTGGAGACCGCGGAGACCGCCGCCGCGCGGGGACCTCCGCAGCGCGCAGGCCCTGATAACGGGAGGGACAGGTCCAGGGGGGCTGCGCCGGGCTGCGCGGTTTATTGGCAGAGCGATAGCGAAGCGACACTCTCTAATAAACCGAGTGATAACGAGCAAAGTAAAGGGGGAAACAATTTAAAAGGTTTCACCCTGCGTCACGGAGCTGACACGTGCCTACGTGCCTATCCCCCTTAATCCACCGTGCATGTCCCACCATTTCCCACGACTAATCTGTCTTTATCTCTGTTCCGACAGGGGCCCTGCTCGTTTTCTACTCCATCTTCTACGTCGTCCTCGCCGCCTTCTTCGCCATCTGCATGAAGGGCATGCTGAACACCATCGACGAGAAGGTGCCGTACTTCACACAGGGATCCTCGCTCATTGGCTCAAGTCCAGGTAATAATTTTGTCAGTTTGTGCCTATGTTCGTCTACTTACACTTCTTACTTCGCAGAAAGTGTCATTCAAACTCCATCTTCAACCATTTCATTGATTTTTTTTTCTCCAGGTCTTGGCTTTAGACCCATTTCACCCGACGTAGAAAAGGAGGGGTCCCTCATCTGGTACCAGGCCAAGAACGCCAGCAACGTCAAGACATGGACGGACCGCATTACAACGTTCCTGGAACGTAAGTATGGCATAGGGGGTGCACGGAACGCGGTCCAAGATACGTAAAATAATAAGAAGTCAAATAGTGTCTCCGAGACTCCGGTCGATAGTGTACAAATACCACGACGACTTCCCCTCTCATCAGATTTAGAACCACCAAAGGAAACCTCATGGGGACCCCACGATATTTGCGCCCATGGGATACATATACAGGTTGGTCCACAGACCCCTTCCTTTATTTTGCTTAGAGTGTACCGCATCCAGGCGTGCGTGCGGGCTTGCCTACCGTCGCTCACCACGACGGCTCCTTATGGCTCCGTGTGAGTATGCAACCCGCCCGCACGTCTTCATGCGGTAAGCAAAAGGAAGGATGGGGTCTATGGACCACCCTAATGGGATCTCCATGAGTCCCTGCGGTGGCCGAGCACCGAGCCCCTTCTGAGTGGGCCGCGATACATGCACCCTCTCCTGAAGAGCACGTGGGGGTGGGGTGTGGACGACCCACCGTCCCACCGTCCTGCGGACATGTCGGCGCGCACCGGCCGGCCGCCGCTAGAGCCGCCCAGCCAGTCGATAGTTTCAGGGTAGAGGAGTGCGCCCGTGGCTACGCCGCCCCACGCCGCGCACGGGGAACCGGTCTGAACTGGAAAATACCGACCGGCCGGCGCGGGCTGCAGCCATGGCGGGCTGGCGTGGGGCGCTGCCGGCGCTGGCCAGGGGGCTGGCCAGGGCTGGTGGAGGGCGAGGGCACAGACGGAGGGCTCGGGGATGGGGATGGCTTGTCGGGTCGAGCCTCCGCCTGCGCTCTCGACTCGACTCGTCGCGGGGTAGCGGCCAGCGGGGTTGCTGATGAACGGAAAACCCTCCGCCCGTCGGCCGCTGCCCCCGCGCCCCCCTCTTCCTCGGCGAGGGTAAATGCCAGCTGGGGGTGGCCGAGGGGGCACCAACTCCGAAATTTCGTGCACTGTGAATACACTGTAACAGTGAATATCACTGAATAATCACTGAATATCGCCTGAATACTGAAGGTATTAATTCCCTCGTGAACCGTGAATACTAGAAGTCACTCCCCCCTCGGGGGTGGCTTCACCCCGTCCATGGTGTGAAAGTAAAGCAACACACTCAAGGGCCTCGACGCGTCAGCCTTTTTAGATGCCAGCCAGGGGTGGCTTCACCCCAGTAAGGGTTTTAAGAAATAAAATTTACTTCCTCAAACCGACTAAAATTTAGTGACCCCATTTTTTAACTAAATATAGTCGCAACAATCAAATTAAGTCAGCTAGACGAAATTATTTCATCGCCACGGATAATTTTTTGTCTTCAGAGCTAAACTTTCGTCGGTTTTCAATTTGGTCCTCTGGACTAAACCACTAAACGGTCTACTGGGCGAAGGGGCTCGGATCATGAGACGAGGTAATAATGAATGAATGAAATCTCTCGCTGTTCCAGCTTACAAAAAGGCCAACAGCGGTGGGGCAACCAACCAGCCCTGCGACTACTCGAACCCCCCCAGCGCGAACAAAGTCTGCACCATGCCGATGGACCAATGGCAGATGTGCCAGGAGAGGAACGGCTACGGTTACAACCGCTCTGCACCCTGCGTCTTCGTTAAGCTGAACAAGGTTAGTCCCCCCCCCCCCATCTTCTCATGTCATATTTGCGAAATTCAAAGTTCATTGCCTTGACCTGCCTACCTATTTTGCATTTGTAACAGGTGGCTGATTCACCCCGCGCACTTCTGTAGTTATGCTTTGCCGGATTCCTACTTGCGGGCGGCTTGCCTATTCGCTCGGCCCGTAAGGTGCCGTGGACAGGGGCGATAGGCAAGCCCGCCCGGCACTCGTGTATAGTACAGTTTAAATCGGTTTAAATACAGAAGTGCGCGGGGTTAATCAGCCACCCGGTAAATCGATCTGCTGACAGCTTACATAGCTTGATCTTACTTGATCCTCATTGCTTTCTCTAAGCGTCCTTAATCTCAATCCTTATGTCTTCTTGGAAACTTCAGCCAAGAAAGCTACTTGAAAACCGGAGACAATTCAAAGTTTTCCAAGTTAATACCAACTATTTATTTGTCTTACCTTAGATTTATGGGTGGGTGCCGGAGTACTACAATGACACTAATGACCTACCTAAAGAGATGCCTGAGAGCCTCAAGACATTCATCTCGACTCGTGCTGCAAGGGAGGTACGTAGAATGGCAAATACTGAAAACTAAGGGTATCCTCAGTTTGCTTTTTAGCCAGCACCAGACTGACAAATGTGTGTTTTTTTTTTAAATTTCCGTTCCAGAGGAACACCGTGTGGGTCTCTTGCGAGGGCGAGAACTCAGCCGACAAGGAGAACATCGGCAAGATCCGCATGTACCCGACCATGGGCATCCCCGGCTACTACTTCCCCTACTTGAACCAAGAAGGCTACCTCAGCCCAGTCGTCGCCATCTGGATGGAGCGACCCACCCGTAAGTAGACCACCAGGACCAGGCCGCCGGGAGGGTGGGCAGCCCAACTACCCACGCACGACACTACATGTATTCTTCTCTTTTGCAGCCAACGTGCTCATCAACGTGGAGTGTCGTGCCTGGGCCAAGAACATCAACTACCGTCGCCACAACACGCTCCGCGAGGGCTCCGTGCACTTCGAGCTGATGATCGACTAGACGGCCACACGGACGCAACCATTCCTTTCTGATGCTGCTGCTGTTTCTGACGGCATTTTTAAAAATTATTCTCTTGAAAATATTTTTGTGAGGCACTTGTTGTAGGGGGGGCAACGGTAAACGGATTCGAATCGGTCGCCGAGGATTGTGAAATCAATCAACAAGTAAGAAATTAATCGTGTTGCTTTTACTAGACACTTTAACGTGTCTCTTTTGGCATCTTTTAACAAAATCGTAAGGGGTATCCGTATAGAGGGAAATTTGTCTGACGTGATAGTAATTTAATAGCTTTCTCTGTCCCTGCAGTGGAAATGTTGTAAAATAAGTAGCATTACATTAGATTAAGATACCAACGCATTTTACCAGTAAGTAGAAAGTAGTTTTTTAAGTTGTGTGTTCTGTGGAACTTTTTTCTTTGCAAGGTCTTGCTGACAATGTTGAATTAGATCATTGTTACTATTGGATTGTGTTAACTTAATTGATGAAGGGACCTAATATGTTAAACAAGTACTTTTAAAATTCAATGTTGTACTTAATGAGATCTGAAGGTGTTCATACATGTTATGTTCCATTGATAAGGAACAAAAAATTATTATTTTTTGATCAGACTTATGTTTAATCAATTTTTGTTCTTGCCTTTCAAATTTTTATCATTTAATTGATTACTGCTTTTCAAATTGCTTTTAAATGTACATTGAATATTAGATGTTATGGTAATTTCAGTAATTAGTTCTCATGTTAAGCAGGCTGATTTAGTTTGTTTTCATCGCTGTGCGATGCAATGTAATATGAGCCCTTGCCATCTTATCCGTGGCATAGAATACATTGTAAAATGTTAAAACATTGTTATGCATCTCATTGATGTATTTTGTTATTGAAGAATATTCATCCCATTTTTATGTGCTGTTCATTTTCACTTTGACAATCATACTTGTCTAGAAGATAAACTGCAATTTTGTTTGCCACTAAGATTTCAAAAAGTCATATTCAAGTTAAAGGCAATTTTATTTTATTTCAAAAAACCAGTTTTACTTTATGCATCAGTGTAGACCGTCCGTGATATAAAAGTCATATGTTGTACGCCATAATTTTAAGGAATTTAGTCTAGTCTCAGCTTTGAATCAGATAATATCTACAGTAATGGATTAGAAGTGTGTCGTTTAGTTGACAAAAAGAGTATTATGCAATACACAAACAATCAATCATGTGCAGATGAATAATAAATTTCCAAATAAGACAAAAGAGATTTTTTAATCAGCAACTTCAAAATAGCACCTTATTGACCCAGACCGGGACAAATTAAGAAGGAAACGAACAAACCCGAATCCAAAAGGTTGAGATATGAGATAAGGGTGGGCAGTCAGTCTCCTGTAAATTTCTGTTTCCTGACTATTAGCCCCTTGCAGGATAGGCAACTCATTCACCATCACCCCTGGCTACATCGTTATTGCTTTTCGGGGAGGAATAGGGGCCCTGCAAGAGGCTACAGTTCATCAGCTAGTCTTCCCACAAGGATAGAGCTTCGTAACCCCAATCCCAATGTGTCTTCATTGTTCCGCCATTAGCCTTAAAAACAAAAAGTTTAGTTGTTGATAAGGATTTCCTGGATTATTTTGTTTTGTCAGATAATAATCAGCGAACTACATTTACAAGGAGAGGTGTATGAAACGCAAAAGGACTTACAGCATGGACTTAGCAGGTTTGTGTATTTTTCAGCAACTGCATCTCGAAATTCTTATTTTAACCTCAACTATTTTCTCAGTAGTTATCAATGTTTTTCATCGGATTATATAATTCAATAATGCATCATGAACTATGCATGACTTTAATTTCATTATTTCTTGTAAAGTTAAAAGTTGTCATGTCATGTCAAACTGTTGATCAGTGGTAAACTTGTAAAACGGACACATGTGTGGCTGCCTGCCAAATATTTATACTTTTTAAATTTTATCA